CTCCAGCTTTTCCGGCTGCTCTGTCCTTGTCTTGTGGGGTCGGGGCTTGGGGAGAGGACTCGGCCTTGGGTCCTGTGGTGAAGGACCTCGAGGTTGGGGAGGGGCTGACTTGTGGGCCTTGGGCCCGCTGGATCCCGCCTGGGTTTTTCTTCCCTCTGAGCGGGGCTTATTGTTACAAGGAGTGGGGTTTTCTTTTCCCCCCTCTGCGTACGAGTTGGATTTGGTGTCGGCCCCTCCCTGGGTTCGGTGTCGTGTTCCCCCGGGTACGTCGGTTCCGTCCTTTCGGAGGTTTTCAGCTTATCGCATCCAACCTGGTGTGGTGCGAGCGGCCTTTGCAGCTAACCTCCTGCGTGACCGAGATTACACCTCGGAAATGGATCCGTCCGAATTCAGGTTTGGGACTTCGTTCCCTTTCTGGCTCCGTTACGAGGTTCCGGAGTCGTCCTGGCCAGCAGACTGCCCATTGTTTGTTCTGGATTCCTGGCATTCCTTCTGTCATTCCCACTCGCTGGAGTGGCGGGAAGCTTCCACGGTGCTTCAGGTTTTCCTGGGGGGCGAGCTTGAGTACCTGAATGAGTGCTTGTTTGCCCCTGCCCTTCCCGGCGATGTGGGCGTTATTCAGCTCCATGTGCAGGTTCCCACCCTTTCGGCCGCACTCGTTGCGGAGGACTTGCGCGCCCAGGGTCTTTTGGCTTCGGCCTTGTGGTTCCTTTCCCTCCTGGAGCTGTCTTCGGATTGGCTCGAGGAGGATGTGAGGACGCTTGGGTCCGTCCCGGGGTCCGGCACTTTGTCCTCGGCTGCACGTTCGTCAGCTGCCTTGTTGAAGCTGTTCACTCCGATTTTGCAGGATGCGGTTTCCCTGTTTTATGCTTCCTGTCTCGCGTGTCGGCAGATGATGCTGGGTTCCTCCGTGGAATCTGCTTGGGCTCTGGCTCTTAGGCGTTCTTCACCTTTTTGTCCTCTTCTGTTTGAGGAGTCTGCCGTGGTGCAGTTTGTTCAGGCTACGTCGGCGGCTTGTCGTCCGATGTCGGACTTGTTGGTTTTCTGGGGATCCCGGGGTGGGTCTTCCTGGAAAGGTCGTGCCAGGGCTCGGGGTTCCTCTCGTCGTGGTAGGCCTCTGGTGTCAGGTTCGGGTTTGGCTCCTCCTGCAGACCCTCCCTCGTCTGGTCGGCGCAGTGTTCACTCTGTGCGAGGTTCTGGGTCTCGTAAGGGTCGCCGGCCCTTTCGCGGTTTGCCTCATTGACGGGGCGATGGGGGGCGGCTTGCACTGTTTCCCCGCACCTGGTCCCATGATTCGTGGGCCTTTCGGGTCGTGTCTCGTGGCCAGCGGTGGCGTTGAGTGGCCCCTCCCTCCTTGGGGGGGGTCGGGGCTGGCAGGGCAGGTTTCTTCCCCTGCGCTCTGTCGAGTCATCTTGGAGTGGGTACGCTTGGGCGTCGTCCCTCAGATGGGTTTCCCGTCTGTTTCCGGTTCCGAAACGGGACTGCGCGGACCTGCGGTTCATTCTGGACTTGTCCCGTCTGAACCCCTGGGTTCATTGCCCCTCCTTTCGGATGACTACGCTGTCTCAGGTTCGGCTCCTCTTGGAGCCGGGCACTTGGATGGTGTCCCTGGACCTCCGGGACGCTTATTGGCACATCCCAATTCATCCATGGTTCAGGGACTGGCTCGGTTTTGTTGTGGGGCGTCTGAGTTACCGCTTTCGTTGTCTCCCGTTCGGGTTGAACCTGGCACCTCGCGTGTTCACGCGCCTTACACAGGTTGTGGTGGCTCGTTTGCATCTCCTAGGTGTTCGGGTGTTGGCCTGCCTCGACGACTGGCTGGTTTGGGCTCCCAGCCGGTCAGCTAGCTTGCTAGCCAGGAATTTGGTTCTTTCCCAGCTCGCCGGGTTCGGGTTCTTGGTGAACTGGAGGAAGTCCCATCTGGTTCCCTCTCAGGTTCGGACTTGGCTGGGTCTCGTTTGGGACTCTTGAATCGCCTCCTTGTCTCTCCCTCCGGAGTCTCTCCTGCAGCTGCGGTCCCGCCTTCATCTGTTTCTGGAGGGCCCTCGGGTCACCCGGCGGTTGCTCGAGGGGCTGTGCGGGAGCCTGAACTTCGCGATGGTGGTCTACCCGCCGGGTCGGGTTTGGCTTCGTCGGCTGTTCTGGTTCGTTCGGGGTTCCCCCTTCTGCCTCTCTTGCGATCGCAGAGTTTGACCCCTGGGGACCTTGCGTCGGTTGCTGCGTCACCAGCTTCCTCTTCGAGTTTTTCGGGGTTCAGTGCCTTGGCACCTACCCGAGCCCTCGCTCGATGTGTACACGGATGCGTCATCTCTCGGCTGGGGTTTTGTGACCAGAGCTCACCAGGCCGGCCAGGGGCATTGGGATCCATCCTTTCGTCGAGCTCACAGCACGGTGCGGGAGTTCGCGGCAGTGTGGTTTGCTCTAGGGAGGATTCGGGTGGCCCGCGGATTGGCGATTCGGCTCCATTCGGACTGCTCTCTGGTGGTTCGTTGCCTGAACGGCGGGGGTTTGATGCGGTCCTTGTCTCTTTAAGGTTGGTCGCTTCGAGTGACTCGTCTGCTGAGTTCTCGGGGTTTGGCTCTCCTGGCGGTTCATGTACGGGGCGTGTCCAACATCTTGGCTGACGCCCTGTCTTGCTTCGTTCCCCTCTCCACGGAGTGGATGGTCGACGACGAGTCCTTCCGTTGGCTTTGCCATGCGTTCGGGCGCCCCGAGGTGGACCTCTTCGCGTTGGCGTGGTCGCAGCGTCTTCCTGTTTATGCGGTGCCCTTTCCCGATCGCGAGGCCGTCGGGGTCAATGCCTTGCGGCTAGACTGGTCAAGGTGGGGGTTCCTGTACCTCTTTCCCCCAGTTCGGCTGTTGCTCCAGGTCCTGACTCGCTTAAGAGACTTACCAGGGGAGAGTTGTCCTTCTGGCCCCTTGGTGGCCGGCCCAGCCTTGGTTTCAGGCGCTGGTTGCTTGGTGTCCGAACTCGAGGGTTTTTCCGCGGCTCCGCCTCTTTCAGCAGATCGGGCCGGTACGTCACGTGGCTGGTTCGATCTTCTGCTCGAGTCTTCACGTATGGGTTTTTTGACTCGAGTCTATCATCATCTCTATGGTGATCAGGTGGCCTCCTTGTTTTTGTCCCACCTGAGGGCTTCTTCTCGGCGGCATCATGAAGTTTCCTGGCGGTCCTTCTGTTTCTTTTTGCGTTTTTGTCGTGTTAGTTCCTTGTCTGTTCCGGTGGTCTTGTCCTTCCTCTCGTGATTGTTTCAGGACCGTTATCTTATGCCTAACACTGTCGCCTTGTATCGTGCGGCGCTGGCGGAGCCGTTTCAGCTTGCTTTCGGTATCAACGGTCTGCGCCGTTTCACAAGCTGTCTCGTGCATTGTTTCACCTCCGGCCTGCTCATGCGTCGCCTGAGCCGTCCTGGTCTGTGGACAGAGTGCTCGCTTTCCTTTCGTCTCCTCATTTCGTTGTGGCCCCTTCGGTCCAGGATTGTTTTTCCAAGGCACTTTTCTTGTTGGCTTTGGCCTCTGGGGGTCGGGTAGGGGAGCTTCATGCTCTCCTCCGGCGCAGGGGTTTCTGCTCTTTTGGTCGTGGTGATTGTTTTGTTCATTTGCAGCCGTCTCCTTCTTTTCTGGCGAAGAATGAGACTGCTGCGTTCCGGAGGGGTCCATGGGTGGTTGATGCTTGGTTGGTCAGGCTGGGGGTGCATCATGTTTTGTGTTCGGTTGCGGCGCTTCACTGTTATTTGCGTGCCATGGCTTCTGTGTCCGGGGACGCGCTGTGGGTTGATCTGGTTTCCCTTCTTCCCTGTTCGCGGGTTCGGGTCTCCCAGGTCGTCCGCAGGGTTATTAAGTCCAGCCAGCCTGCGGTCTATCCCCGTGCCCATGACGTTCGTAAGTTCGCGGCTCTTGCTGCCGTCTTTGGGAATATGTCTTGGTCTGATATTCGGGCGCGGGGATTTTGGTGTTCGAACAGGGTCCTGGCTGCTCGTTACCTTGTGAATGTCCCTGGGCCCCGTCGGGCCTGTGTTGCTTTGGGTCGGCGGTTGCAGCCAATTATCTCGGCTTCGAGTTGAGGAGTGAGCGACGACCGCCTCCCGGGTAAGTCCCTATTTTTCCGTCTGTGGGTAGTTAGCTCCGGGGAGCCGACGGGGCTCCCCCCAGAAAACCAGCGTTGAATGTAATGAAATGCCATTTTCTGGGTGAGTCCCAGAGGCTCTCCGGCATCCCTCCCTCCCTCCGGTCGGCGTTTTTTTCGTGTTTTTGACATCCAGCCTCAAGAACTGAGGTGTGGGTAGCCGGCGTGGAGGGTCTGGGGCTCCCCCTTCCCCCTCCCGGGGAGGAGGGAGCTGCGCAGACAGCGGCGCGGCGGTGTGTGACGTCACACTAGTTTGCTTGTTTTCGGTTGGGGAGTTCTATCCACTAGTTCGGCTTTTGGTAGCAATTTTAACCAGAATAGGGGTTTGTTTTGAGGCGCTTACCGTTCTGGGTGCCTGTTCCGGTCGATGGCAGACATAGAATGCTTCCAACCACACGGGGGCTTCTATAGGCCATTGCTCCCCTTGCCTCTCTGAGGGGGCCCGGTTCTGGCCGTGGTCCCCGGTAGGCCTAAGAACTCCATACACACGACTGATGCCAAAGTCTGACATTAGCATATCAGCCTGGGAGCTCCGGGGAGCCTCCGGGACTCACCTAGAAAATGGCTTTTCATTACATTCAACGCTGGTTTTCTAACCATGGCTTTCATTGTACCATCACTTTCCTTCTATGACTCACTGTAATCTCAACTTCACTTTCACAAATTTCTCATTATTAGCCACACATCCCAGATATTTATAATGATGAACCTCTTTCGTCAGGTGTTCATTGACATTTATTTCACACTCAACAACAAAACATGAATTTAATAGCACAGTATTTATATAATATAGTTATATAAACCTTACCAGATATTCCTTTGCATGAGAAAAGGTTTAATATTAACCTTTGAGTGTGTTGTTGTGACTTTACAGGTTGCTGTGCATGCAGCGTCGTGTTGAGGCACAGGTGTACATCATCATGAGTGTTGTCGGCCACTTCTCACTCTTCCCGCTATTCTTCACACACCATGAGACCCCAATTAAGGTTAGTATTACACAGTATTTGTAAAATATGATTTTGTGTTCTTGTGTATCTAGAAGGGCTCCTACAATGGCTTCCTGTTGCTTGCAACCTGGAAACCTCCACCTAATTCGAATCACACCAGGTACTTGCAAGTACAGTACCCTATAAGGGACCAATGTCCAAAACCTGGCCCGCTCTATAGAGATGCAGGGCAGGGAGCCAAGGATATTAGATCACTTAGACCGAGAAACTCTACCAGAAAGGTAGAGTGAAATAAAACCAGACAACAGCAAGATAAACAAAATTCCAAAAACATTCCACTCAGTAGTCAGGCAGTGTACCCTTCAGTAGCAACTCCTCACCACCAGGTGGCAGCACCCTCAGTTGCTCGGCTCAGACAAGTCATTAGCCCTTTGATTACACAGCAACCAGTCTCTCTTCATCAGTTGTGCTTGCAGTAATCTTTTAAGCATAAGATTTTTATGCTTTTAGGCATAACATTTAAAACTCCCACAAGCACATGGAGCTCACATCCACTTCCTCAGATCTTCAGTAAATAGATATCATCTTGTAAAAAACTTATAGGCACCCGTCCTGGGTTTGAGAGCCTCAGTATCAATGTGTTCGCAATAGAATTCTCTAGAGGAATAAAGGCATATAAACTCCAAAAGCCCGGCTTATTATCCGCAGCAAACAGAGAAAGTGAGAACGAGTTACCCGGGATATAGTAAAGTATAGTACAGGCATACCTCAGTTTAAGAGTTTAATTGGTTCCTGGAGACGCCTCGTATTCCGAAAACTCGCATTCCGAAGCTAATTTCCCCATAAGAAATAAAGGGAAATGAATTAATCCGTTCCTGACTACCCCAAAAACCCCACATCAAACTAAATTTTTATACCTAATTCATCTAAATAAACCTACAAAACTATGTTCAAGTTATTACTTACCTTGCTGTTGAATGCTGTAGGCATATGGAAGATGGTGAGGAGGGGGGAGGAGGAGAGAAGTTACTGTTTGGAAAGGGAGTCCCCTTCCATTATCACATCAGGCAGTGAGGACCTTTCTGGTGTGCTCTCCCTGGGATATTTTATCTGAGTGCCACTAGGTCCTGGTTGAGGCTCACTGCTCGATTTCCTCACCACAAATCTGTCCAAACCCTGGCTTTCTCACAAATAATGGCCTCCGAAACACTGTCACCCCTTAACTCCTTGTCGTGTATCCAAATTAATAACAACTTTTCCACTTCAAGTATTTGTGGTCTTTGTTTCATTATTGTTCTGACTCCGTTTGCCACTTTAGCACTCATAATCTCATTTTTCTTCCTAAGTATAGTGCATATTGTTGATGTGGCTTTGTTGCACTGCCTACAAAGTTCAACAACACGTGTACCGTTCTCATGCTTCCGAATGATCTCTTGTTTCTCCTCTATTGTCATCCTCATATGGGCTTTCTGGCCTTTATCCTTACCACTGGCTTTCTTGGGACCCATGGTGAGATATATAAGAAATTGTATAGTCAAATCACCAAAAATCCAACAAAACACTGAAAATCCGCGAGAAGAATTGATGTGGGGTAGTCACTGAGCGCGAGACAATGGTAAACTGAGGGGCAGAGGGGTGGAGGGGCGACGATCGTCGAACCACCATGCGCTAGGTCGGCCTGTACGCGTATCAACAAACTCGCGTCCCGAGGTAACCCTCGCCTTCCGAGACATATTTTTCGAGGAAATCCTGCTCGTCTTCCGAAAAACTCGCATACAGGGACACTCGTATTCCGAGGTACCACTGTACAGTAAATGCTCAGGACCCTGGGAAACCCCTGGGGGCGCGCGGGTCCGATGGATGTGACCCCAGAGTCCCCCCTCGCTTCCAGCGAGTTTGAGGGTTGCTCTCACCCCTTATCTCTGGGTGACTTTCTGTTTTGCCTCCGTCTGCTGCCTGTGGGGTCGGTGACGCCTTCAACCCGGAGTCCTGTTAGTTTGGTTGCTCGTTGTGGCTCGGTTACCCAGTTGTGCTGACTAAGCGGGTGCGGGCAGCAGAGGCGTTGCACTTTGAGCCTTGGTGGTGGCAACGCTCTTGTTTGCTGAATAATTGCTGCTCCCCGGGAGCCCCGGGGCTGCTCCGTTTTGGCTCGTGTTGGGATTTGGGGGTGTTGGTTGCTTTGGTTCCTTCCATGCCCCCTTGTCTTTCCCCTGGATCCCCCCTTCCTGCCTGCATCCGGTTCCTTACCGTCTGTAGGTTCGGGGCGGGGTTTGATGGTTTTGAGACTCGGGCAGTCTCGGGGAATTCCCCTTCCAGGGTAGTGATGGGGGCATTTGAGCCTGTTCCTCCAGCCGTGTTGTAAGAGTCTGCCAGTGGGCTTGGAGGGACGGCTCGGCCCCGGGGCCTGTCGTGTAGGTTCCTGGGGCTGGGGAGGGGCTGACTTGGGGGGCCTTGGCCCCGTAGGACCCCGTGGGGTTTTTTCTCCCCTCTAGGCGGGGCTTGTGGTTACGCGGAGTGGGGTTTTTCCTCCCCACTCGCAGTACCTGTTGTTGGGCGTCGGCCCCTCCCCGGGCTCGGTTCCTTGGCCTTTGAGTCGGTTGGTTCCGTCCTGTGGGTGGATGCTTCCCCCCCCTTTTTGGGACGGTGTCTTCATGTTTCACCGTTCTTGGGGTTCTACGTGACTTCTGGTCTCGGGTGCGCCTGTGCCTTTGTGTTCCTTCGGGACTGATGTTGGCTTCTGTGTTTTCGAGGGTTCGGGAAGGTTTTCGCTACTTCCCGCATTATTGGTACGTCTGTCGGCTCCTCGTTTGGAACGCCGTTTTGGGCTACTTGTAGCCCGATTGGGCTGCTTGTGGCCCGGTTGGGCTCCTTGTAACCCTGTTGGACTACTTGTGGCCCGGTTGGGCTGCTCGTGGCCCAGTTGGGTTCCCTTTTGGGCTCTGTCTTTGCTTCATTGGCTGGTTTTGTTGTTCCTGCTTCCTCTTTTGGCTCTTTTTCTAGTGCAGTAGTCCTGGTTGGCACCTTCTCACAGAGCGGGTTGTGCATTGTGAAGTTTGTTTTGGTCTGGGCGGTGTGTTTTTGTGCTGGTGTTTTGCGCCCTTTTTTTTTCAGGTGCTTTGCCTCTCGCTCTTCTCCCTTGCTGCGGTATGTGCCCCTTCGCTCTGGGGGTGTTCCTGGTTTCCAGCTGTGGGGAGGACGCCGAGGTTTCCCCTGTGTCATGGGTGTGGGTCGCCTCCTTCGCCTCTACCCTGCTCTCCTGTGTGTCTGGCTCTGGCTTCTTTACCTGGCAGTGCTCCCAGGATCTTCTGGGCACTGTTGGGGTCATGTCACGTTCGTGCCTCCGTTCGACAGGTGAATTTCTGCGGTCTGGCGTCTTTTGGCCGGGCGCTGGATGTGGAGATGTTTCTGGGGGGAGCCCCGTCGGCTCCCCGGAGCTATCCCAGGCTGATATGCTAATGTCAGACTCAGGTAGCAATTTTAACCAGAATAGGGGTTTGTTTTGGGGCGCTTACCTTTCTGGGTGCCTGTTCCGGTCGATGGCAGACATAGAATGCTTCCAACTACACGGGGGCTTCTATAGGCCATTGCTCCCCTTGCCTCTCTGAGGGGGCCCGGTTCTGGCCGTGGTCCCCGGTAGGCCTAAGAACTCCATACACATGAGTGATGCCAATGTCAGACTTTGGCATCACTCATGTGTATGGAGTTCTTAGGCCTACCGGGGACCACGGCCAGAACCGGGCCCCCTCAGAGAGGCAAGGGGAGCAATGGCCTATAGAAGCCCCCGTGTAGTTGGAAGCATTCTATGTCTGCCATCGACCGGAACAGGCACCCAGAAAGGTAAGCGCCCCAAAACAAACCCCTATTCTGGTTAAAATTGCTACCTAAAACCGAACTAGTGGATAGAACTCCCCAACCGAAAACAAGCAAACTAGTGTGACGTCACATACTGCCGCGCCGCTGTCTGCGCAGCTCCCCCCTCCCCGGGAGGGGGAAGGGGGAGCCCCAGACCCCCCCTCCCCGGGAGGGGGAAGGGGGAGCCCCAGACCCCCCCTCCCCGGGAGGGGGAAGGGGGAGCCCCAGACCCCCCGCGCCGGCTACCCACACCTCAGTTCTTGAGGCTGATGCTATAGGCGTTGGTCGTGGTGATAGTTTTGTTCGTTTGCAGCCGTCTCCTTCTTTTCTGGCAAAGAATGAGACTGCTGCGTTCCGGAGGGGTCCATGGGTGGTTGATGCTTGGTTGGTCAGGCCGGGGGTGCATCATGTTTTGTGTCCGGTTGCGGCGCTTCGCCGTTATTTGCGCGCCACAGCTTCTGTGTCCGGGGACGCGCTGTGGGTTGATCCGGTTTCCCTTCTTCCCTGTTCGCGGGTTCGGGTCTCTCAGGTCGTCCGCAGGGTTATTAGGTCCGGCCAGCCTGCGGTCTATCCCCGTGCCCATGACGTTCGCAAGTTCACGGCTCTTGCTGCCGTCTTTGGGAATATGTCTTGGTCTGATATTCGGGCGCGGGGATTTTGGCGGTCGAACAGGGTCCTGGCTGCTCGTTACCTTGTGAATGTCCCTGGGCCTCGTCGGGCCTGTGTTGCTTTGGGTCGGCGGTTGCAGCCAGTGGTCTCGGCTTCGAGTAAAGGGGTGAGCGACGACCGCCTCCCGGGTAAGTCCCTCTTTTTCTGTCTGTGGGTAGTTAGCTCCGGGGAGCCGACGGGGCTCCCCCCAGAAAACCAGCGTTGAATGTAATGAAACGCCATTTTCTGGGTGAGTCCCGGAGGCTCCCCGGCATCCCTCCCTCCCTCCGGTCGGCGGTTTTTCGCGTTTTTGACATCCAGCCTCAAGAACTGAGGTGTGGGTAGCCGGCGCGGGGGGTCTGGGGCTCCCCCTTCCCCCTCCCGGGGAGGGGGGAGCTGCGCAGACAGCGGCGCGGCAGTATGTGACGTCACACTAGTTTGCTTGTTTTCGGTTGGGGAGTTCTATCCACTAGTTCGGTTTTAGGTAGCAATTTTAACCAGAATAGGGGTTTGTTTTGGGGCGCTTACCTTTCTGGGTGCCTGTTCCGGTCGATGGCAGACATAGAATGCTTCCAACTACACGAGGGCTTCTATAGGCCATTGCTCCCCTTGCCTCTCTGAGGGGGCCCGGTTCTGGCCGTGGTCCCCGGTAGGCCTAAGAACTCCATACACATGACTGATGCCAAAGTCTGACATTAGCATATCAGGCTGGGATAGCTCCGGGGAGCCTCCGGGACTCACCCAGAAAATGGCGTTTCATTACATTCAACGCTGGTTTTATATACCTGTCTTTATTTAGGTATATTTTTGTACGACTGAGACCGTTCGCACACCAGTGACTGCCCCTTTTTCAACCCTTCCAGTCCCACTCATGTGCATGTCCAACCCATGCTAGTCATTCAAGGGACCCACCTTTTTTCGTGTTATGAGGTGTGTGGGTTGTGGTGCTGGTTATGTACTCACCTGGTAGGGCTCTCCTGGTTGTGCTGGCGGGGTTTGAGCTCTGGCTCTTGGGTCCCGCCTATATGGAAGAACTTGCAGGATAGTACCAGTGGAGTGCAGTGGTGCTATAGGCACAATCAGGGAACACTGTATAACCATCAGAGGTCTGTGGTTGTTACACGACCTACTTGCAGGCATACCCCATATTGCCGGTACGTCCGAGGACTTCCAGGGCACACTAGCCTGTTTTCGAATAGAAGTTCCGGCCCATCCTGGTTGTGGGGGGTATGTGGGCCTGCAGGCCACTCCAAGCAGCTGCCTGGTGGGCCACCCTCTGGCCGGTCTAGCCTAGCCTCAGGCCGGGCTTGGGGTGTACATGTACTCCTGGAACCCCATCCAGCTGGTATCGAGCGGGGTTCTGGTGGTAGCTGTCTGCATTAATGGGTTCACTAAAACTTGTTTGGAGTGAACCAATTGTTTAGTCTGATTCATTTGTGAAGTTGTTTGGTCATTTTGATAATTTTTCTTTGCACCTTGCAGTGGTCTGAAAAGTTTCACTGACTTTCAGGATGCTTTCTTGATAAGGGTAACAATAATAATCCCCTGCTCTGCTCCTCTGTGAGGGGGGCCAGGTTATGGCTCTAGTCCCTGATAGGCCAACATGACTCATGCAGCTGATGTGGCATAATAGTGAGGAGTCATCTTGGTGAGATACCTTCAAGGAGCCACCAGGGCTCTACCAAAAGGAGGCATTTCATTACATTCAACACTTACTTTCTCCAATACCTGCATGGTGGGATGGGAAGGATATTCTTTAATACATTTTTATTTATATTTTTAGGTGTGTGCTCTGCTGTTACATGCTGTATGTACTGTTCACATCCTGCATGGCCACTGGCTGGAAGGTAGAATGAGCCCTCTGATTCCACACATTCCTCTCTGCAACTTTACAGAAACTGTTTATTTATTTGGTCTAATTCCAATATTCTTTTATCAACAATTAGGTCATAATATGCTAGATCCAAAGGGAAAGATGCCATTTCTTCCTCTTATGCTCATATCTGTGTATTGTAGTGTTGGGGTGATGTACTCCTGGCTGAAATATTATAATTTTGTTTTAAACCCAAGAAAGGGAAAGAAGAAAGCTCACTGAGAAATATGCTATATTTAAAATTGTGAAATTGATGAAGCTGCAAGATTGGTTATAGGCATGTGTGTATGTATGTATGGATGCAGGACCAAGTTTGAGATTCTCTTATCGGTATCTACTGTATTTTCCAATATAAAATTGTATAATACTCAGAAGTGATTATTTTTATTTCACCTAACAAAAAAATATGGTAAATGAAGATTCTCATCTCAAATACCAGTGTTAATAACCTCAAATGAATGAACAGAAATTTTTTGGTCAATATTCACGTTAAGTTGTCAATTTAAATTATTTAATGAGGACATCTAAGACCCATTAATAATAAGCTTATGTAGTGTAGTTTATCCACTTAACTGCGCCAACCGAGAAAACTCTCTTTGATTTTTTCGTACCCATTCTAAATGTGTGCGAGGTTGGTTGTGTACGAAATGGACTCTTAGGACCTCCAGTGAGAGGCAGCCATCTTGGAAAAAATTCCCAGAATGCCCTAGGGCTGCTGGCTGGGTTAGTACTGAGAGAGCAACCATGGGTGGTGCACACACCTCTGGCTCCCAAACACTTGTCTGATATGGTGTTGAAAGGTTGTGCTCTGTCAGTGAAATTCAAACCTTATTGTTTGAAGAACATAAGGGTCATAATATTGGTAAAGCTAGGCGCAATAAGGACCTAACACAAAGGTCGGATGCAAGTGATATAACACCTATGAGAACGATACAGCAGTGTATCCAATTGTAGCTCTGAGCGCCATCCTTGCCCACCTATGCTATGCTATCTCCAATTTATTTAGATGATACATAGATGAATCGTTTTCTGCATTCAGTGATGATGCATCTGATACAAGTAGCATAGATAAACAGCGTTAGCAGCTTCCATGGTGGCGTTTTCCACAGATATTTTCAAGAATAGCTGAATCTCTTCTTGACTGATGGACTTCTTTGAGGCTGGCTGAATCTCTTCCTGTGTGGGACCTTACGAAGCGATCTTTTCACGACTACCTTACGAATTGATCTTTTCCTATAATCTTTTCAAGACTACCTTACGTTTTACAAGCTTGGCTGCATATCACCTACAGGTACTAATGCCAAAGGTGTGCGTTATTTGCAAGCACACAGAATGAAGAAACAGGAATCAACAAACTGGAAAAGGTGCAAAGACATGCTACTAAGTGGCTCCCAGAACTAAGGGGCAAGAGCTACGAGGAGAGGTTAGAAGCATTAAATATGCCAAAACTAGAAGACAGAAGAAAAAGAGGTGATATGATCACTACGTACAAAATAGTAACAGGAATTGATAAAATCGACAGGGAAGATTTCCTGAGACCTGGAACTTGAGGTCATAGATTTAAACTAGCTAAACACAGATGCCAAAGAAATATAAGAAAATTCACTTTCGCAAATAGAGTGGTAGACGGTTGGAACAAGTTAAGTGAGAAGGTGGTGGAGGCCAAGACCGTCAGTAGTTTCAAAGCGTTATATGACAAAGAGTGCTGGAAAGACGGGACACCACGAGCGTAGCTCTCTTCCTGTAACGACACTTAGGTAATTACTCATTCCACTTCATATAGCAAGTGGAATAGCATTCCACTTCAACTGATTTTTCAGGCAACACTGTGTACAGGAGTTGTAGCTGATGTGTGGAAAAAGGCTAACATAGTTCCAATCTACAAAAGTGGCACCAGGGAAGACCCCCTCAATTATAGACCTGTATCATTGACAAGTGTAATAGTCAATATATTGGAAAAAATCATTAAAACTAAATGGGTAGAACACCTGGAGAAAAACGATATAATATCAGACAGACAGTATGGTTTTCGATCTGGAAGATCCTGTGTAACGAACTTACTCAGTTTCTATGATCGAGCCTCAGAAATTTTACAGGAAAGAGATGGTTGGGTTGACTGCATCTATCTGGACCTAAAAAAGCCTTTCGACAGAGTTCCACATAAGAGGTTGTTCTGGAAACTGGAACATATTGGAGGGATGACAGGTAAGCTTCTAACATGGATGAAAAATTTTCTGACAGAAAAATGAGGGCCATAATCAAAAGCAATGTATCTGACTGCAGAAATGTCAGGAGTGGAGTACCAGAGGGCTCAGTTCTTGCACCAGAATGGGGGCATATTACGGAAAAATGCGATAAATGAAAAATGATTTGATTTCAATCAAACTTTTTTGACTAGTTGTATATAAAATTTGGTTCAACTGGTCCAACTCTCAGCATTGTAGCATAAATAGGAAGGGAGAACAAAATATTGAATTTTGTGTCAAAAATTTTCCAAAATGGTTAAAAATTAACATCAAACAAAAGTGTCAACTGAAATCATGTCTATGACTCTAAGCTATCACAAAAGTATATAATAAAGTATTTTAATATTCAGTTTTATGCCAAAAATTGAAAAAAAAAAATTAGATATATTTTCTCAATTTTTTTTTTTATTTTTTTATCAGTCGATTTGCATGAAACTTATACACCTTACAGAACGTATGCCTATCTGTAATGATGCAAATTTTGGAGGAAATTGGTTGAAGTCAACTTCAACTACAGGTGGCAGAGTATTTGTTCTTATTTATTTTCAAGTAATATAAAATTACATCTCCTCTTTCATTTTTTTTTCAATTTACATAAAATTTACACCTTGTAGGTAGAGTTGACATCTCTACAATATTTCTAAAACACTTTATTCCTAAGTTCATTTATTGATTTTATAAATATTTGCAAACATGAAATTTTGGCATATATTTTTTGGGAAACTTTGACTACTTGTATTAGTAAGACTAAACATATTTTGGATAATCCTTTTTAGTCAAATCCTTTATTATATGCTAATATGATATATGTGTCATAAAAATGATGTTATTTGAAACTTGTGGTTGAGGTTAATTATTGAAAATGTGTAAAATTTGTTGAGAAAAAAAAATATCTCCCTTTCTATATAGGGTGTGATACTGAAACGTAGAACAGTTGCAGCCCTTCTTATATACAACTAGTAAAAAAGTTTGGTTGACATTAAACAACATTTAAAAATTCAAAATATGCCCCCTAATGTTCATTGTCTACATAAACGATTTACCAATTGGAATACAGAATTATATGAACATGTTTGCTGATGATGCTAAGATAATAGGGAAGATAAGATACCTAGATGATTGTTATTCCCTTCAAGAAGACCTGGACAAAATATGTATATGGAGCAACACTTGGCAAATGGAATTTATTATGAATAAATGCCATGTTATGGAATGTGGAATTGGAGAACATAGACCTCACACAACCTATAAATTATGTGAGAAATCTTTTAAAGAATTCTGACAAAGAAAGGGATCTAGGGGTGGTTCTAAATAGAAAACTCACCTGAGGACCACATTAAGAACATTGTGCGAGGAGTCTATGCTACACCTGCCCAGTCTGCCATGTCTCCTGTTACTTCTTCCTCATCACCCTCCGATCCTCCTTCCCATCCTTCTCCTCCGTCTATTGGCTCTCCCCGCCGCCTGTCGGTACGGGCTGATGTCCATCACTCTCCCAACGGCCGTCGTGTGTGCTCTTGTTCAGCTTCTCCTGTTGAGACGCTGGAATCCGTTGCCCGGTACGTAGTTGCTGGGACACCTCTCTCTTTGAGTCAGAAGCGTAAGCCTGGCTCCTCTCCTTCCTCCTCCCCAGCGGGTAAAAAGGCTTCACTTTCTTCCTCGCCCCCTACTTCTGATTCTCTCGCTCTGTCCACTCCCGTTTCGGTGGTTATGCCCCCTGAACCTGCTGTGGAGGTCTATTTGGCCCCCGCTTCCCTCTCGGTTGGTGCCCTTGCTGACGTGCATCCCCTTGTTTCTGTCCCTCCTGCTGCTGTCCTTGACCCTCGGTTATCCCCTCCTCTTCCTCCTCCAGACCCTGCTCGTCCACCCCTGGTTGGTCCTCTAGCTACCTTCCATCCTTCTTTACTCAGTTTACCCATGCCCCCTAACCCTGACTTCGCTGACCCTGATCCTGTGCTTGTTTAACGTGCTGTGTTCCCTTTTCGCCTTTGTTTCTTCGTTGTTCTCTGTTGCTCTCCTTCCTCTTGTCATCTATGTCCAATCTTCAATGGAACGTTCGTGGTTATTACGCCAATTTCCTCGAACTCCAGCTTTTGATTTCTCGGTTTTCGCCCCTTTGTGTCTGTCTCCAAGAGTCGATGCTTGGTACTCATCCTGGTTGCTTTCGTGGCTATTCCTTTCTACCCCCCCCCCCCTCCCAGCTGTTGCTGGGGCTCCTAACTCTTCTGCTCTCTTGATTTGCTCGGATGTTCCCTTTGTCCCCTTACTTTTTCCTTCGCCTCTCCATTATTCTGCTGCTTGTATCTTTGTGAGGAAATGGTACACCGTTTGTTCCATTTATCTCCCCCCGAGTGTCCCGCTTTCTCTTCCCAATCTGAAACACCTACTGGACTCCTTGCCGGAGCCTGTGCTCCTGCTAGGGGATTTCAATTGTCGTCATTCCCTTTGGGGTGATGTTCTGACGAACACCCGGGGTCTCCTTCTTGAACCGTTCATCCTCTCTTCTTCCCTGTCTCTTCTGAATTCTGGTGGAATTCTGAATTCCCACACATTTGGACTCTCGAACTCGCACCCTTTCCTGTCTTGATCTTTCTCTTTTTTTAGTTTAGTTCATTTGTTATGCACCCCATACCCATCTTGTGGGCGGTAGTGGAAAGGGTTACAGAGGCACATAATGGGCTCAGGGACTGAACCCCACAATTCATTTTGCTCATCTTCTCTTTACTTAGATTTCACGTGGCAGGTTCTTGATGACCTCCATGGCAGTGACCATTTCCCCATCCTTGTTACCTTTTTCTCTTTTCACCCTCCCCTCTCCTTCCCTAGGTGGCAGTTTGCTAAGGCAGACTGGAACCTATTTACCCTCAGTGCTGCTCTCTCTGACCTCCCCCTTCTGCCTCTCCCTCGCTCTCTTCCTTTTTCATGACACCATCTTCGATGCTGCCCTCCACTCTATTCCTTGCTCTTCCTCTCGGGGCCCAAGGAATTGTGTTCCCTGGTGGAATACAGACTGTGCTTGGGCTGTCCGCTGTAAGCGTGCAGCCTGGAAGAGACACCGCCGCCGGCAGACGGCCGATTCTTTTCTTTATTTTGGAAGGCGAGTGCGGTGGCCCGTATGGTCATCTGTA